AAATGTACTCATGGGTACTGAAGGCAGGCAGACCTCGTGAGAGGTCTGTTGGGTGGTAGGGGTAGCAATACAAAAGAAAGCCCCAGGGACCTCAGGGAATCTGGGAGGACAGACTGCAGCTTGTAGGGCCAGGGCTGAGAGGGTGGGGTGCAGCACAAATTCATAAATGACTGGGTCGTGGGAGCCCAAGCAGCCCAAGGCCAACTATGATGCATAGTAATGAAATTTCATGTAAAGGGTTTTAAGCTGCACTGCTCTTTCTGGGGAGGCTGAGAATATTTTCACATAGGCGTGAACCCACTCTTGTTGGCCTTGAATAAGGTTGGTTCTCTTGCATCCAAGCTGCTGGTCTGGCCAGAGGAGGGACAGCTTCAGTCTTTTTTGGGGCTTGCACTTGGCACACAGCTTCCCCTCTACTCACAGCAACAGGGAGGTGGCACCATGTAAACCCACAGTGCCAATCACAGGCATGATCCCTTCCTTCCCTTAGTTGTAAAAGGAGGGAGACACAACCTCCACCTCGTAACACTTTATTATGTTCCTGAAGGTTTTCTTTTTCTAATACTATGAGATAGAACGAAGGCACAAATTGTAACATGCTGGTAGTTAATTTGTAAGACATTTTATTTTATTGCTATTGTGGTATGAGAATTTAAAACAATCTTAAAGTACAAATGAAGTAAACATTACTGTCAGGAGGCACCAATAAGAAAAAAAGCAGGAGGAGGGGGATGCTTATTGTTTAATACTGAATTCCTTTGAAAGGTCCTACACTCAAATGCCTATAAAGCCAGGCAGGGTCTGTCCAGGAGGAAAGCAGATGGGAGGGGCTGGTGGACTGGGGAGAGGCCTCCTAGCCAGGTAGGGCAGCTGCAGCTCCGCTGACGCCAACTCTTGTCATGCAGAATGCAGACCTGTGCTGCCACAGCTTCAGATATTTTTAAAGTGAAGCCAGAAGTCCAGAATTCAATGTGAAATCACCCAAGGTCTACATGTTGGCAACTGATCTGATTATTTTTAAAACGCTGTTAGGGCCAAACACATCACATCTGTGGGCCAGACTCGGCTCGGGTGTATGCCCTCTGTAGCTGTGCACTCCATCAGAGCCTGTGTGTCCTCGGTCAAAAAAGGGCCTTGCTGGTTTCCTGGGGCTGGTGTGCAGGGTGGAATGGTGTCAGCCAAGCAGGATGAAAACAGCACCCACAGCCTTGCTCAGTGTCCTTATCAGGTTGGATTATTTGCAGCTGCTGCGCTAACCTGACCTCATTCATCTCTTCCTATCACATCCTTAATTCCTCACCGGAGTACCCGAGGGTGCCAGGTGCTCAGTGTGGATGGGCAGATGAGGAAGGAGGAGGCAATGACCAGGGGACAACTGTGGACTCACCCTCAACTGAAAAGAAGCAATCAATGTTGGGAATGTGGCTGGGATTGGTGAACCACAGGGGTTTTTGCACATTATAAATGAGAATGTAATACTTTAAAAGTGGCACCTTGCAAGAGAGAAGCTTTAAAACCAGACTACATCCAGAGATATGGAAGCATGGAACAAGACTGATGAATCTCAGAGAATTTATATGCGTAATATGCATAATCCCTGGGCACAGACAATAGTGTGAAGAAGGCCTGGGTGGGTGAGGAAGTGGGGTGGAAAGAGTCAGTGAGGGACAAAAGAGGACAAGTGTAATACTTTCAACAATAATGATTTAAAAAAAAAAAAAGACCAAAGAACTGGGCTGTAGAATAAGGCATCTTAAAGGAGATGGGTGCATTGCACATGGAGGCCCATTAGGAAGTAAAAGAGGGTCCTGGATGCTAGAACCCTTTATTTTGAGGTTGGACCATCCCACCTACTGAGATAAATATGAACAGTGGCCAGGGCTTCCAGCAATGGACTGTAACTATTGTAACTCTTGTGTTCTGGACTATAGAATAAAGAATCTCACTGTCATCCTCCAACTCCAAATGTAAAGATATTCTGCTTTAAAATCATCCTATCTAATAAAAGAGTAATATGTAAATTAACTGTCACTCCACGACAAAGATAGTGGCGCCCATAGTAGACGGGGTGGGACGCTGGCAGCATCACCCCGGCAATGTGGGCCCAGCATCCGCCCGGCCACACAGAGGGAGGGGATGGGAGGGGCCCCAGCCACGTGGAGGGAGGGGAGGGGCCTCGGGCCGGAGGCCTGCAACTGGCATCGTTGCAGGCCGGGCTGAGGGACCCTTCCCATGCACGAATTTCGTGCACCGGGCCTCTAGTCCATAATAATAAAAGTGTAATATGCAAATTGAACGACCAAACAGCAGAACAACCATCCAGACAACATTCTGGAAAACCATGCAATGACACATGCTGGCACCAGGCCAGCCAAGGTGGGTGCAGTGCGATTGACCAGGGGGCCCCGCCATCACCCCACAATTGCCCCACAGAGGCCACCTTCTGCAGGGTGATTTATGGGGGGGCTCTGTAATCGATCGCCCCAAAGAGGGAGGCCCAGACCACCCTCTGTGTGGCGAATGATTGCAGAGCCCCATCCGGTTGGGCAGGGCCTCCCTCTGCGGGGCAGTCAATCTGGGGGCCCCGCGATTGATCAGCCCACAGAGGGAGGCCCAGGCCACTGGCCAGCGGCATTGTGGCAGGTGTGTGGGGCCGGCCAGTGATCGCCCCGCAGAGGGAGGCCCAGACCAACCAAGCGATTGCACCCCATGCCTATTTCCTGCAGAGGGAGGTGACGTGGTGGGGGAGAGGGGGCAGCGCCACATAGATGGCAAGCAGTGGCAGTGGTGGGGGTGGGGCCAGCTGCTGGCAGCATGGGGAAGGAAAGCCCTGATAGACCCTGATCGCCAACAAGGCCTAGGAACCCTACCTGAGGGGTCCCAGATTGTGAGAGGGCGCAGGCTGGGCTGAGGGACACCCCCCCCTTCACAAATTTTGTGCACCAGGTCTCTAGTTATTTATATTATCCACTGGATATGTCCCATGAGAATGGCTACACTTTAGTGTATGTTGTTCTTTATATTGTCAGAACAACTCAAAGAGGGCTCACTGATTTCTTGTTAATTTGCTTGGTTAAGACGTGTTCATTTGCATTTTGGGTTTCATTTTGTGTTACCATATAAGTAAATACTCACTCAGGCCCCCTTTGAGGAGTGTTTCTCTGCTTCATCTCCCTGTGTTTCCATGTTTCTAGTGATATTTTGTTTGTCTGCATCCCATCCTACACCCAGCATCATCTTTGTGTTCACCAAAGCCATGAGAATAGTCTGTAATTCAACAGTTCATTGTGGAGAACAGACTTAGTGCAGAGAAATTGGATTGGAAGGAAGTCTATTACTGACAATCTGGAATCCAAAGAACCTGGATTGTCTCAGAATCCAGCAGAATGGAGGAGAACATTATTTTGAGTAATTTGCAAATACGAGTGTATGTGTTTTTCTCTGAAAAGCTTTGTGAGGATTAAGAGGAAAAGTGGTATTTTTTTTGTAACAAGCCATGTGTTTAAGACCTAGTTTTAGATTTCTAGAAATAATAAAATTTCTGGATATATACATATATTTATAAATACATAATGGTTTTTATTTTAAACCTTATTGTGATTTCAGAAGAACTTTCAATATTTATTTTAAATGGATAATCTCATTTGAACATGGTAATAGGATTTCTAATCCTTTCTTAGACCAATTCTGCATCTACCATAATTTAAAAAAATAAAAAATGGTACATTCATGTGAGAAGGGATGGAGAGGAAACACTAAAACTCAAGTCAAGTGATGGCTTTGAGGTATGGGATACCAAGCAATCAATTTCTCCTTTATTGTCATTCTCCTATTTGTATAACTTTTTAAAAATGTAAAATGAAAGAGCAATACCTTCAGAGTAAGAGTTTATTTTTAGGGGAAGGTATTTTTACATTCTTGATCTTATATTGATGAGCTCATTTTCATTGGCCTAGATTTATTTTCACTTTCCAGTAATGTAGTCCTTACTCCTCTGCAAGATACGCCCTGATTAGAGGAGAAAACAAATTACTCCTCCAGCCTGAGTACATAAGGCCGTTTTTATAATCAGGAAGACAGGTTTCGGGGAGGGGAATCTGCTTCGACATCTGAGCGTTGCTCTGGGGAGATAACGGCACACCAAGGCGCTGCCGGGAGGTCTATATTTCTGTCTTGACGTCCGTAGATGCCACTGCCACCGCCAATGGTGATGATGATAAGTGATGAGAAAATGAACTGGGAGGTGATGCATCTTCCTGACAGATGTAAGGAATTGCTGCAGGCAGCCCCGAGGCAAGTGCTGCTGCGGCCACGCTGGCGCCTGCCTCGGTCACTCTGGCACCGGCAAGCAGGGCTGCGAGAAGCAGGGGCAACGCAGTCATAACTTTGTGGTTTTAATCTGTTCGTGGAGCCTCTTTTAAAATGTTTTTTTTTGAGGAATGAACTAGAGGTTGTGCTACAAATTCTGAAGTATCGTTATTGTTGATTCGATGGTGTCTGTCTCGTACTTGTGTTATTGCTGTGGAGATCCAGTGTGCGTTGCTCCGCCAGGCAGCGATGTGCACACAGACATTGGAATATGGCTGTCCTAAGATGTCAGGGCACCCCATTCCTGAAGTCCTACTTTTACCCAAGGCGTTGTATGTGCTGGGTATGTGCTGGCTCGGTGCTAATACGGACCACAGGGGATGAGTTAGACCTGAGCTAGTGCTTGGGGGTGGGGGTGGGGGGCGGGGGAGGGGCAGGAAGGAGCAAGTGAAGTGAAATGGAGAACCACAGGTACCCCCTGAGCAGCCACACTGGGGGCCAGGAGGAACCGCACTGGACATTTCTGGATAGCCAGCCTGGGGACATTCGAACAAAGGAAATGCACTCAAAGGCAGCACTGGCACCAATTACCTTTTTCATTTTGTTTGTTTAAATATAGATACGATTTTTGTTTGGAAACAATTCACCTTTTTACCTTTCTTTTCTGTCTTGTCCAGGAATTTATGAGTATTTGACCCGACTCAAAATGTGCAAAGAAGAATAATGGAAGCCCCTGAATACCTTGATTTGGATGAAATTGACTTCAGTGATGACATATCCGTAAGTATTGCTACTTGGAAGTAATGCTTTCGGGAGATTCTGCCTTCTCCTACATGGGCTGCTCGCTCTGTTCTAGTCTGTATGTCCTAAACTCTCCCAGCCACATTAGAACTTGACATCCTGTGGGGCAGACAAAGTGTGGTTTTGGGGTCTCCTGGACCAAGAAATGAATTCAACTTACTAGTAATTGTGTGTGAGTTTGGGTGAGATTTAACTTGACTGAGCCTCCCATTCCTAATCTCTTTCATTGTTGCCAAAATTATTCGCTGAGGACATTTATAAAGTGCCTGCCGATAGTAAGCACTTTCATAGAGTTACTTATGCACATAATTAACCCTATTCATTTAGTTTTCTTTATGGCTATGGAGCAGCCAGCATTCTTGGCGCCCATAAGCAGATAGACTGAAGGATGGCCAAGTTAGGTTAGCTGATGAACAACAAGAGGAAGCCTTCCAATCACTCTAGGCTTCAAGGCGCAGATTGGATGCTTGTTGGGAATATTGAGGAAGAGCCATGCAGTGGTAAACTGACCTCTGAGCCCTGCTTAATCCTGTAATGCTGTCGGCTACTGAACTTCTCAGAATCACGGCTGCTCCGGGGGGTCCTCTCCACGCCCCTCTGCTCAGAGCTGGCTGTGACTTGTCCTGGGCCACACAATTCTGCCGCATGTGGGCCTCTCATGCCCTCCCAGCCAAATGGGGTGCTCGGAGTTTGTGATGAGAAGGTTGCCGTTTCTGAATGAGTCATGTGACTTTTCTTCTCAAAACCTCCAGGGTCACTTTTTTTTTTAATTAAGAGAAGTAAGGCTTTATTTCCTTGTTTCAGAAATAAAGCTGGCTGAGCAAGTTGCTTTTTGGTGATTAGTCAAAGAGACCAAATCCCATATCCTCATCCGACTCCCCCCAGTCCTCCTCTGCTTCCCTAGGCTAGGGCTGCTGTAGCAGCAGGAGCCTCAGTGGTGGGTGGACACAATTTCTGACCTTACTTTTCATTGATCTTTCATAGCATAGAGCTTTGGGTCACAGCTAGAAATTGTCTCAAAAAGATAAGCTTACTTTAACGTGCCTCTGGCAACAGCATTAGTCCTCTCCTTTACTCTCCACTCTGAAGTGAAATCCACATACTGTATGTACACAAGTATTGAATTATTGGGAGTTTGATGAATGATCTATTTTAACCTTAGATGAGTCTTTGTAGCAGGGAAAGGTAAATTCAGCCTTCCCTTACTTCCACTTCCAGACAGTTTTTTTTAATCCTTGTGAAGACCAACTGAAGTGAGTTTCTTCCTTTCTGTAATACCTTTCTTTCTCTCTGTCTTGTTCTGAGTTACTGTGCTTGGCTTAAAAGTGTTCAGAGCGTGGCTCTTTTATAACCACTCCTGTCAAGGTATTTTGAGCTGAGTGGGGAGGGGCAAAGAGAGTGAATGATAATGTGGGGAGGGGTGGGGTGGGTGGCAGGTGTTTAAGAAAGGGAAACTTGTTTAGGAGTTTGGGAGTGACTCTCTGAGTTTTGCTAGTGAAGTTGCCTTTTAAAAACATAGGCTTTGTGAAATAAGCCAGTCAGAGACAAGTATCACATGATCCCATTTATATGTGGAATCTAATGAAGAAAGTAAACTGATGAACAAAACAGATCCAGAAACATTGAAACATGCAACAGACTGACATATCTCTCAGAGGGAAAGGGGGAAAGGCCAGAAGAGATTAACCAATGAATTTTGAATTTATTTACACACACACACACACACACACACACACACACATACACACTATATATACCAGTGATGGCGAACCTTTTGAGCTTGGCGTGTCAGCATTTTGAAAAACCCTAACTTAACTCTGGTGCCGTGTCACATGTAGAAATATATAGAAATTTTTTGATATTTGCAACCATAGTAAAACAAAGATTTATATTTTTGATATTTATTTTATATATTTAAATGCCATTTAACAAATATCAACCAAAAAAATTAGTTCGCGTGTCACCTCTGACACGCGTGTCATAGGTTCGCCATCACTGTTATATACTATATACACACACACACATATATATATACATATATACATATATGCATAGCCCATGGACAAACAGTAGTGCCGAGAAGGCCTGGGAAGGGGATAAGAGTGGATTGGAAGGGTCAACAGAGAAAAAAACAGGGACACCTGTAATACTTTCAACAATAAAGATTTTTAAAAATATGCACAAAACACACAAAAATAAGTAAGTAAGTAAAAGCATAGGCTTTTAAGGCACCAGTCTGGGCTTCAAACGTGTTCTGACCTTTGTTGACCTCTCTGAGATACCCACCTAACTTTTAAGGTGTTTTTTGTTGTTGTTGTTGTGGGGTTTTTTTTGAGGATTGAGTGAAATAATATATATGAAGCACTTAGCTTAGCACACAGTAAGTTGCTCTTAAAAATGGTAGCTTTTGTTATTATTTCAATGAATAATACAGTAATATTTATATGACCATTGGTGAAGAAAGAACTCGAGGGAAAAGACCAGGCATCATGTCAAAAACTTTTTTTAAACACTGCAATAGAGCAGTTGTGTTTACAGAAGAATCATCTGGCAGCAGCCCATAATTTTGATGAATTAGGAATCTCCACTTAAAAGATAATAAAATATGTTAAGCAATAACTGAAGCTGTTTAGCAAGTTGGGATGCAGGATTATGCAATAGTTGAGTTTCTATAACTTGACCACTCTGAAACATAAATAAAGACATCCATCTGTAATTGTGTAACTGCACTCAAACCTCCCCCCCTTTAACTGTGTATTTATTGTGTGGATCTTTGACCTACATTTAAACTTTTATCAGAAGGAAACACAGGAAGGTGCATAGAATTACTGAAACAATAATAATGGTTACCATTTACTGAGCACTTGCTATAGGATAGGCATTATGCTGTTTCATTCTCACAACAATCCTCTGAAGAAGGTACTTATTATTATCTCCATTTTACAGATAAGGAAACAGAAGCATGAAACAAGTTACATAACTTGTCCACAGTCACCCACTTAGTTAGGGATGCTTTGTCTCCAGCATTATACTTTTAGCTACAATACTGCTTCTCCAAGATAAAAATAGTCTGTTGCAGTGGTCCTCATAAGGACGATTTTACCCATCCTCAGGCAAAACCTGGGCAATACCTAGAGACATTTTTGATGCTCATACTAGGGATATGCTGCTACTGGCATCTAGTGGGTAGAGACTAAGGATGCTTCTAAAGAACCTAAAATGCACAGGAAAACCTACAACAAAGAATTAACTGGCTTAAAATGTTGATGGTACTAAGGATAAGCAATCTTGGCCACATGAAACTAAAGAAGCTCAAATTTGACTGGCAACCTCTATAACATGGTAGATTATTCTATTCTAGTCAATCTAATCCAAGTTCAATACCTTAAATGTGCCGGAATCATATTGTTCTTACATAATGATTTCATGGGAAAAGATGTAGAGATAACCTCCTAAATACTGGAACAGTTGGTTCAGCCTATTTAAGTAAACTAGGAACAATAAATGTTATAACTGTTTTAGGGGCAAAGTGGAGACTATTCAGGTGCTAACATTGAAAACTGAAGATGTGTTGAACTTGCTAATTTGCTGGCATAAAGAGAAATGTAGTCTCTCACAAACATGCCTTTATTGTTAGGATTCTGTAAGCCTCCATCCGCACAGTTCTTAAGTCTCTTTTGAAAAAGATGTTTACCAAAAAGATGCCCAAGTTTAAAACCGCTCTTCTTCCTCCCCAGCCATAGCCATCAGCTTTCTATTTTGTGATTTTTCCCCTCTAGTTATGAGCCTGGTTCTTGTTTTAATTAAAACACAAGCTGTATAATGGTTCCAAAAAAACAACTAGAACTTTTTTTTGCCTTTACCTAATGAGACAAAACACAGAAGGCACTTACATTATTTTGAAGTTTCCCAGACTCCAAAATAATGCTCATCCTTTGCAAAATGCAGGGTTTAAACTATACATTCTTGTAATCCTGCCATCGAAAAGGGCAGAACACTGTGCACTGGCTGCAGATGTGCGAGGGAGAGATGACGACACACGTAAACACAGAGGGTCAGAGCAGGGCCTTGCTGTCACTGCACACGGGTTTACAGATTTCTTTATTCCTATGGAAGCCAGAGCCCTGTGTCTGGGAAATGAAAAATGCTCTGGAATACAATTTTACCGTGAGGTTCTTAGTAGCCGTGATGTGTTTTATTAAGAGAGGCCAGTTTGCTGTCCTCAGAAATAGTATGCACAGGATTGAATAATGCAGAGGCCAAACACCATGGATCCATTGAAGAGCCTGGCTCATTGGCTGTGCCACACACAGCACTGAACTCTTTAAGTCCGTTATTTTGTTTAAGCCTCACATCCACTCCACAAAGCAGCCCCTATTTTAATCCCTTCTTTGGCAAATGAGGAAAATGAGGGTTAGAGATGTCGTATGACTTTCATAAGGTTACAAATGGGCAAGTGGCAGGTCAGGATTTATATACAGAACTCTTTGACCATGTGACTCTCCCCCTCTGAGTAACTTAGTTGAGTATAATGGGCCAGTCATCTCACCCATTACTATCCCCAAATAGGCACTGAAGCAAATGCAAATAACTTTTTGGCACCAATGTAGTTGGTATATATATTATAAATAAATAAAGTCAAACAAGCTAAAGAGAACTTAGGAAAATCTCTTCATTTTACTGTACCTCAACTTTTCCACCTGCAAAATGATAATAGTCATATCTACCTATTGCCCTGGTTTTATGGAGAAAATTTAAAATTATATATATACACACACACACACATATATATACTCTAGAGGCCTGTTGCACGAAAAGATTCGTGCAATAGGCCTTCCCTTCCCCTAGCTGCCAGCACCGGTTTTCCTAAAGCACCCGGGACCCAGGCCTTCGCTCTGGTCGGAGCCGCCTTCAAGCCTTGGCTGCTCCGGCCGGAGCCACCTTCAGTCTTTGCTCCGCCGCTTCGGGCCTACGTATGC